CCCCCAAAACCCCAAAACCCCACAATCCAAAAATTGAATTACAAATTTGAAAAATATTTATAAAAAATTCAAAGGGATTTTATTATATCAAATGGAAATGAATATATACCTAATAATTTAAATAACAAAACAGAATGAACAAATTTCTGATATTTTTACTCAAGAAATTTATATCTTTCGATATATATGGGCACCAAATTAAACTACTTTACAAGGGAAGAAATACTAAAAATACATTATTAGGTGCATTTTTCAGTTTCCTCACATTCGCTCTTATCATTCTGTACTTTGGACAGCAGCTCTAAGATCTATTTGACAATAAAAACACGGTTAAAGCTCTTACATACGACATAGTTACAAATAAGCTGTTTAAGAAAATTTCGAATAACAGTTTGGACTTGGCCGTCTCAATTAACCGATACGATAGCTACCTGAAAACTGTGATAGATGAATAAGTTTTTTCTCTCGAGGTAGTTAATTTCGTTGACAATGATGATCGAGTGAATTTCTAGTAAATTCAACTTAATTTGGAGAAATGCTCTTCTTCAAGGTTTTTTAACGAATTTGAATTTCAAAACATATTAGAAGTAAATAAATAAAATGGCTACGAGACTTATTGCTTGGACTTTGAGAAAGACTTTATAGTCTCTTAGAAATCAAAAGCATCTTTAGTATTCTATGTAACTGCCTGCAACGATACATTATTACAACAAAAATATCCTAGTATGGAATGTGAAAAGAATAAGACTATAATCAACTAAATTCTCAAGGAAACTCAAATAGAGATGATTAGGACCAACATGCAGTTTGATAAAGAAGACAATACAGTATACCCAATTATCACACTAGTTAAGGATGAGTATTTTGATTTGCAATCAACAGAGGAGACAGTTATTGTAGATTATGAAATTTAAGAAAATCATGTTAAGGGCTCATCTTCAAGGATCCACGAATCATTGTATGAGTTTAAGCATGATTACTTCTCTACGATAGGGAAATAACAATATAAAACTGCAATTACAAATGATGCATTCATCTAGTTCACCTTTTATTTGAGTGATGAAGAAAAAAGCTTTGAGATAATACCTATTAATTTCCTTTAAGTACTTTCTAATGTTGGAGGATTGGTATAAATAGTCACAGTGTTGGTTACTTTCATGATTGGGCCACTGCAGGAGTTTTTCTTTTTCCAGAGTCTAATTAAGAAAATATTCTTAACTCAGAAGCACAATGAAAAAGAGAAGATCGGTGATAAGTAGGAGAAGAAAAAGAGTTATAACTTGGAAAGTGCTTAGCCTAGAAATTACTTAAGAATGGTTCTGGAGTTAAGAAGTCGATATAGATTCTATTATAACAACAGGGAAGCATTTAATGATAAGTTCTTTTTCTTATGTAATTTGAAGAAGAAAAATCAAAGGCTCAGAAAACAGTTATTTGATCATGGTGAGGAAAAGATTAGAAGCAGTCTTGATGTTGTAAAAATCATCAAGAATATGAGAGAATTAAAAATGGTCTCACATCTAATTTTACTTAAATTTCAAAGAAGTTTGCTGCCTTACTTGCAAAAGTACTTAATAGAATCCAGCTTTTAAAGAATGCAAGAGAATATTAAAAAGCGTTAAAGTGTATTCAAAGAAGAAGAGACTGATAGAACTGCATCAAGAAGATAAGAAGAAGTTATGGACTCTCTAACCGCTATTATGTTAGAACTATTCGCAGATAGCAAGTAGCCCTAAAATATTTATAATCAGATTCTGATTGACAATATATTTATACCCGATGCTCGCAAATAGGTAAGCTTGAGAGGTCTCCGTTCATAGATGTTTATTGGGATATTAAGAAGGTTTATCAAGTAAAATTTGGAATCTGATAGCTTAAGTGATATTGATAATGAAATATAATATGCTCAGATAAAAACATAAACCCCATAATCTCTATAGATACCTATAATAGAAAAGTAGAATTCAGTAATTTCAGAATTTAAAGAAAAGAAAATGAATTTCAAGATATATGATGAATTTCATTTAAGTGAAAACTTAAATTTCAAAACAGACCAGAACTTTTTCACACCTGATGAATCGTATCAGCTTGTTGGAGATGAATCTGATAAGCAGAATTTAAAAGTAATATAGAAAGGGAATCTTAAGTAATAAGATATCGATCAGGAATTCTATAGAGAGTGGGAATGAATAGACTTAAAATGAATTATGGTTTTCAGTAACTCTTTTTACTATCCTATTATTAACTATAAATTTCAAAAATTGTTTATTTCTTAATTCTTTAATATATGCTATTTTCAACATTTTGGGGTTTTGGGGTTTTGGGGTTTTGGGG